GCATAATCATTTCAGTGCCTGCCTGTGTGAGATGCAGGCGTTACAAATAGTGGCTGTTGTTTGAGGTGTGTGAGATCCCCAGCTGGTCTCAGGAGCTGCTGTTAGCACAGGTGTGGTTATAACTGGGTTGGGTCTGACTCACGCGCTGCTCATTACACACTTAGGCCCATAAGGTCTCACTTTTATGATAGAAAGCTTCATGCAGGGGCAGCTGTGAGTGCCTCTTGTTCAGCGTTGCAGTGCTGCACCCCATGTACTCCTATCACTGTCATCAGTGCTGCAGAGGGGCTGCTGCTGGGAATTTCCCCGCACGCTGTGACCCCAGAGCTGTGCTATGCAGGCACTGCTTTCCTTCTGTGTGCTTTGCAGGTGGGAGCAGCTCATGGGAGCACCCAGCACGTGTTGCCTCTCCCCAGCCCAGGGTCGAGTTCAGGAGTTGCTCCAGGTGACACCACGGGTTTGCCTTTATCCCATTTGCAGCACATCAGTCTCCGCCTTCTGCAGGGTGGCTCCCTGAGCCCTGCAGCAGGGCAGCCTGAGCAGAGCCAACTCTTTGCTTTCCTTCTTCCTTTTCTATGAGAAATTGCACGCAGTTCCTGTGCCAGGCAGCGACAGCTGTGCACAGATGAACCCAATCCCCTCACTTCTGCACACAGTGACTCATCTGCAGAGGAAGCTCCACAGGCACTGGGCCGTGCAGCACCCATGAGCTCTGTGATGGCAGTCCTCCTCCCAGTGCCGTGCTGGGACGTTCTGCTGGGATGTTACAGAGCAGAGGGCAATGCTCAGCCCGTTTTGCTACAAAACCAGCTGAAAGCTGGGTAAATTTGCTCCCTCCGTGGAGATAAAAGCTATGAAACCATCTGAGATGTGACACAGAGCAGTGTGGGACTCGACTCTTTGTTACTGAGTTATCAGACTGCAGAACTGATTCCATTTTCACACGTTTGTTGTAGCTCACAGCTCAGTTGGCTTTGCCATGGTGGCTGCAGGCTTGGGGCACTCCTGGGGGTGAAAGATGTGGGGGTGAAAGATGTGGGGCAGTGGGGCAGGACCCACATCTACAGGGAGCTGCATCATGGGGACACACCTGCAGGGCTCAGGAAAACATGGCTTTTTTGTTTTTTTTTAGTTAATTAAATAAGTTTAAAAAAAAAAAAAAAAAAAAAGAATCTTTCCCCAAATAAGGTCTCTTATCTGGAGAGTAAATTGAAATATTTCACTGATATCTTCCCTTAACTTCTTCCCCATCAGATTGCATCCTGGCAGGGCCTTGCTCAGCCACTTCCCCTGATTGTTAATCTCCATCTGACTGCAGGGAGGAGGCTCTGAGGCCGTTGATTCAGGCGATAAACTGAACTTCCGATGTGGATGTGCAGGAGTGGGCTGTGACAGCTGCCCTCAGGGTCACCGTCCCTGCACTGCACAGCCCTGGAGCTGATGCTGTTCAGCCCCCCCTCCTCCCCACCCAGATACAGCTCCTGTTGCACCCCCACATTCCCACTGCTGCTGCTGCAGGACTCAGGTGTGTGCTGTGGGGGCAGGAATGGGGGCAATCCCACCGAGCTGTGACTCTGCTCCTCGCCCCAAGCAGATTCAACCTCTGCAGGTTGTGACAATGTGATTAAGCAGCAATTATCCCCAAATTCAATTCAATTAGGCTGTGGGGAATGATGAGCTCTGCAGATGCATGTGATGAGGGCAATACCCGTGCAGGGCAAGGGGAGGGGAGGCACGAGGGCATTGCCAGGAGGAGCTGCGGCAGAGCGATGGCAGGGGGAGATGAAACCGAGACACGGATCTTTAATTGCAAAGATCAAATCCCCCAAATCAGGCTCATTCTTATGTACAACATGCAGCCGCCAATTAAATTTTAGACACGTTTCATTTTCTGTCGTTCCCCTTCTAAAATTTTCGTAGGAAGCACTGACTCTCCCTGCGGGTACGCAGCCCAGCTTCACACCCCCCACTCCACCCCCCGCACCGTCCGGACCGCCGCCACCAGGGGGAGCCCCGCACCCCGCACCGTGCCCATCCCGCACCGTGCCCATCCCGCACCCCGCTTCGTGCCCGCCCCGCTCCAGTTCCGCTCCCGATCCCACTGCTCGCCCCCCCCCCCAGCCCACCCAAAGCCGACTCCGAGGCTGTGCACCCCGATGAGAGCCTCTGCAGCCACGAGGGCAGCATCTCCTCGTGATTAATGGTAATCATAAAATCCATACCAAGCCAGGGAGAACCGTCACGGCAAAGGAAGCCTCTTTTCTGATGCCGGTGGTCCCCTGGGATGAGCAGAGATGCGCTGAGGCCATAGAAGAAGAAACGTTTTCCCTGCAGCCTCTGCTGATGCTCAGGGGGTGATATTGTCCCCCTGGCCATGCAGTGCAGAGGGGTCCTGGGCACCCACCAGCAGCTCACAGAATAGCAGAATGGCCCAGGTTGGAATGGACCTCAAGGATCACGAAGCTCCAACCCCCTGCCACATGCAGGGCCACCAACCTACCCATTTCATACCAGCCCAGGCTGCCCAGGGCCCCATCCAACCTGGCCTTGAACACCTCCAGGGATGGACGGGGCATCCACAGCCTCTCTGGGCAGCTGTTCCAGCACCTCACCAGCTTCCAGCTGTGCACTGTGTTCAGGATGGACACGACCTGAGCACAGCCCCAGGAACCGTGCAGACAGCACAGCAGACTCAGGACACATCCAGACCCATCTCAAGGCCGAGTTCAGCCACTCCCCACTGCGCACAGCCACAGCACGGAGCTCAGATGGGTCAGATGTCCACGGCAGGGCTCAGGCAGTGCTGTGCTGGCCCGAAGCCCCGCACGTGGTGGCAGTGCCCCAGCCCCGTGCCGGGCAGCAGCACGCCTGGCCACAGAGATGGAGCCACCGCTGCACGCTGCGGAGCTGCCAGGTGCACCCGAGCAACACGAGGCCACCACGGTTTGCAGGAAGCAGAGCAAAGGTCTCGAATCCTCTCAGGGAAAAGGCCGGGGCAAAGTGCAGCACGCTGCGTCCTTGGCCGTGTTTGCAGTGAACGCAGCCCATCCGGTCCCGCAGGACCGCACCGCCGGGGTGCGCTGCGCTCTGCAGCCGCCTCTCTGCCACGCAACGGCTGAGCATCACTCACCGGCTCCTTCATGTTTCTGTGGCACCGGCAAAGGGCTCTCGTTAACAGAATATAATGTGCAGTGAAAATAATTGATGAGCATCTTGTAACAATTGATTATCTGTCCGCTGTTCCGCCGCTCTGCTCATACATTAATGGATGGTGCTTTTCCCTGCGCGGTTCAGAGCAGCGGAGACGCAGCGTGCCGGCAGCCACCTGCCCTGTGCTGCATCTGAACGGACCTCAGGTGCACTGAGATGATTGTAGGAGGGCAGGGAGCAGCTGGACATGCATGGCACAACCAGGTGCTGCACGGCCATCCCCATGGGCACACTGCAGCCTCGGCCGCACGCAGGGCAGCCTGCTGCTCTGCTGCAGCCCCAGGCAGACTCAGCTTTTCTGGGCGACTGCCCTCAGGCCAGCAGCTCCACCGCCTCCTCTTCCCAGCACGGCATCAGCACAACTCGTGCCAGTGCCTTCACCAGGCGGCTGGGAACAGAGGAGGTTGTTTGCAGAGCAGCAGCCCTGACTGCTCAGTCAGAGCTGCAGACTCAGCAGAACTCAAAGCCCCCGAAAAACCTGAACAAACTCCTGCGTGCGTGGAGCCAACCTGCAGCGGGCAGGGACTCAGATCCTCTCCTCATGCTTGTCACATGAATGAGCTCTGTTCCAGGCTCACGCCTTTCATCTCAGAGGGGATTGTGTGCATTATGAGGGGGATTAGACTTCTCCACCAGGACCGGTGTGTGCAAGGCTCCAGGCTCACCCCCTCCCTCCTGCTCCAGCCTTTGGCGACCCAACAGGGACACAGCCCAGCCCGTGGGGCCAGGGGGCAATGAGGCCAGTGGGGTCACAGGGAGCTTGCCCACACTGCCTCGATACCTGGAACTGGGCAGGCAGGCAGCAGGCACTGTGATGGGAGGTGTGAGCCTGGCCAGCAGCCACACAGCCCATCTGCTCCCCCCAGAGCCCCGGTCACTGCTGCACATCGCTGGCCAGAGAGCGCAGCTGGCTGGGAAAACAAACGGCATGGGAATTAGCTCCCAACTATTTCCTCAATTCTACCTGCTATGAAGGGAATTTTATTTTGCTGCCCTGAGAGGAAGGAAGGCAGCCTGCCCAAGTGCCTCGAGGAAACACCTCCAATAACTCCTGCAGAGCACAGCCAGGCCAGCACCACACCCCACAGCCCCCAGCCTGCCTGCAGCAGCCCCATATAGGAATAACACTGCTCACAGCAGCACCACTCCCTCCCCAGGGATGTGAGGCTGCAGGGGCAGAGGCCACCGTGCCACCCATCAGCCACCTGCAGAATGCATGCAGCCCAGCCCACACCCTCAAGCTTGAGTCACCTCATTGCCCAATGCAGGGCTGTAGCAGTCCTAGTGCCACACACCAGCCCCTTCCTCATCAGCCCAAGAGGCAGCGCCGTGCCATCAGCCACCTCGAGTAAACAGCAGCACTGGGGAATGAGCGTTATCAGCTCACCAATGCAAAACAGGAGGAAATTATTTAAACATCTTTTCCTTAAGAGGCCAGGTTGGCCCGCAGCCCAGTTGCCTTTCAGAAGTCACAGGCAGGAAAGCAGCGTTACTTACAGTAAAGTGCGTATCAGTAATTGTGCTACTGGATTCCAGGGAAAAGGACTGCTCCTCGTGCAAGGCTCACAGGGGTCAAGAACAGCAGCTATAGCTGAGCCCTTCCTTCTGCAGAAGGAATCATCATTCAAGAATGCCCAGCAAGCACAGGAACAGCCCGCAGGCTGCCTGACCCCCACACAGGGCTCAGGAACCAGCTCAGCCTCCACACCCACACTACCCCCCTTACCACCAGGTGAGGCCCAGCACCACTGGAACCATCTGTGCCTACAGAACAGGGACCACACCGCAGCTCATCACGGTTAGTTTATTGCAACAGGAACCAGTTATGGTAACTACAATAGACACAGCACTTAATGAAAAATACAATTACTTGGTTTTCCAGTATTACAAGCTCAGTACAATAAAGTCCTTTTGTACAAAAATACTGTTGGCTTTATAAAGTTACTCTACAGTATGAAATACCCTGGCCTTTTTTTTTTTTTTTTTTTTTTTCCTGTGAGATTTGGAGCTGGCTGACAACGATGGAGAACTGCAGCAGCCAGGAGAGGTGCAGAGCAGAGCAGTCAGCACCCTGAGTGAGGCCACCACGGGCACCAGGCACCCCACAGGGCTGATGGGGGGCAGCTGGGTTCCCTCCTCCTGGCAGCACCAGGCCTGCAGACATCCACAGCAGCACAGACAGCACCAGAGGCTGCAGCAGGGCTTGGGGTGGGAGCCCCTCCATCACAGCCCTACCCACAGAGCAGACAAAGGGCCCCCACTGGGCAGTGAAGAAGAACCTTACGGCTTTCATAGGCATCCTGCTAAAAAGAGAGGAAAGCTGTCTCTAAAAACAGAGTGCATAGGAACAACCTGGCTGTTGCCATCTTGCAGCTAAAGAGATTGAAAGAGGCACAAAACACAAACTCCATCCCTTGCTGGAGCCACAGCAGCTTCTGGCCCAAGCAGGGCAGACACACCATACCAGCAGCAGTTCTATGCAGCTGGAGAAGCAGGCAGGAACTCAGTTTCTCCCCAAGGCTGCGTTCTCCTGACATGCAAAGGCTGCAAGTGAAGCAGTAAGACACATACACAGGCATGCACACACATGCACTCCTACACACCCCCATGTTGGGCACTGTGTCAGCCTTGGCCAGGCCCATGGGAAAAGGCACTGTCTCCTGCAGGCAGGAGTTTCAGGCCAAGGAGCTTCTTGCTGCAGGAAGAGATCTGCATACCAAGGCTCAGCCATCCTCAAAGGGAAGCACCAAGTTTCTTTCCTGCCTCCTCTCTCACAACACAAAAAACCTGCTAAGGAAGTACTCTGCACCATACCTGGCCGGTCAGCCTGCTGCTTTAACCCCACTCATCTCCCCAGATGCACATCCTTTGGCATGTTCCTGGAACATGCTGTCAGCATGAAATAAGAGTTAAACATAAAAGGGATAATTGTAAAAAAAGTTTATTTGAAAAAAAATACTCAGCCTCTCACAAGATTTCTGATCAACGTGTACTATAACTTGAGAGCCATGAACCTGCTCCACGTACATTGAGATATTTTCCAACACTAAAAAATAAAAAATAAATACTTACAAATTCTCTCCTCCCCTTTACATGTCCTAAATGAGAGCGGTAAGGCATCCATCACCTTATGATCTTAAGTTGAACAGAAGCAAGTAAAAGAGGTTTTTCTAAGAGATAAAAGAGGAAAAGCAGAATGCCTGTCTCAGGGATGCGTCTACAGCAGTCTGGTCCATCTGGCCCCTTCTGCAAAGCACAAAGCATCCAAACCCACTTGTCTCAGCTGGATAGGATGCTGGGCTGGTGCCTTCCAGGTAGAAGCCTGTCCTGGATCTGCTGTGGAGAGGCCAAGGGATGCCACCTGCTCCAAGCCCTGCTGTGGTGCCAGCTGAGCTCCACTCATACACATTTCATATTACATCTTATTACACAGGTAAGAGTCTCTGCCTCAGCAGTGCCAGGTTCCCCACCCGTGGGCACAGACCCCAGCACCCAGGTCATGCCTTGCTGGGGGAGGATTTGCTCAGGCCCAGAGTGGGCGACCACACAGGAGATGCTGCCTGACATGAACTGTGGCCATCCTTCTCCAGCCTGTTTATCCCATGAGAACCAAACTACAAAAAGGAAGGATTTTAAAGAACTACAGTAGCTAAAAGTTTTCAAAGCATGCCTGAAGACCACCTAACAGAGCCAGGAGGCATCTGGCATGGAAGCTGAAGACCCACTGCCCCCATGCCCAGCGTCTGCAGTAAGAAGCGTGTGAAGCAGGATTCATCTGGGGCTCAGCCCTGACATCTATCATGCTCCAACAAACCCAGTATCCTGCTTTTTATGGCTTTTATCAACAGAACTCCCAAAGATACACACGAACGCACACACATCATTCCCCAAGCAGAATACAGAGCTAAAGCACGGCTTAGAGTAGAGTTAAGGCTCATTCAGATTCAGCTAGATTTGAAGACTGTAAGGCACATATTAGTACAATCATGTTACTGTTAAAAAGCCAGAATATAAAAAGTCATCCCTTCCCCCACCCCCACCCCAAACATGCGAGGATACTGCGCATGTAGCTCTGTTACCTTTGTTGAACACAGATGGAAAGACAGTTCAGAGCCTGGTTAAAAAATGAACACCTGGTTTAAACACTTCTCACAGCCGCCCAACACGAGCAGAGCATTTCCCCAGACACTGCTTCAGGACAGCGGCGCTTCCCCCGACACCCTGGGATTAAAACCAGTCCCTCACATGTGGCTTTCCTCCTCTTTGACACCGTCTTCTGTGCTCTTCTGAGGCAAGGTAGCCACATCATTGTTTGCTTCTTTCTGTTTCTCAGCCTCATCGATGTTGGTCTCCTCCTCTTTCCCTTCGTTCTTCGTCTTCTCCTCCGCCGCCTTCTGCTCCTTTGCCACCAGGCGGTAGTTGATGCCCATCCCAATGAAGAGGTAGATCCCAGAGACAACGAGGATGATCCCACAGGCCCAATACGTGTACTTGTAGTCACCATACATGTCATTGAGCTTACCTGATGGGACAGAGAGGGGACAGTTTAGCAAGACTACCTCCAGTGCTGCCCGGAAACTGCTCGAGGTTCAGGAAGCATTCCCAAGAGCAGCCCAAGCCACCACATCTGCTTCAGGCCTATTCCTTCTGCTCCCCCAGCTCATGCCAGGGCTCAGCCCACCTCTCATTTCCCCAGATGTCACAGCAGGTCTGGGGCTGCTGCTCCTCACCCTCCCTCACCTCCACCCAGGCACAGAGCCCCATAGGAACAGAGAGCAATGCCCACAGATGGGACCCATAGCCCCACAGCAAGGCCAGACAAGGAGAAGCAGCACACAGAGACATCCTACCGAGCAAAGGGGGTCCCAGAAGCACGGGGCAGCACTCCACAATGGTCACAAGGCCAACAGCACTGGAGAACCTCTGCGCTCCCACCAGGTCCATCAAGGTTTCAAACAGCACCGAGCTAAGCCAGCCAAAGGCAAAGCCAAAGAAGCCAGCATAAATGCAGAACCCAGCATAGGTGGTGGACATGGGGGCCAAGAGGTGGCACACCCCATTGTAAATCACAGAGATGGCAAAGAAATACTGGACTCTTGGTCGGATCCACTTGGTGTTTGCCACCAGTCCCATGGAAGGTCTGGCTACCATGTCTACGAAGGCCAGGATGGACAGCAAGAAGGCCGCAGACTCGTTGGCAATCTTCTTGCTCTTTGCATAATTGCTGAGGAAGACCAAGGGAGTGAACAGCCCGAAGAACATGATCACATTGCCTGAGAGATAGAGCAGGAAGCCTCTGTGTGTGAAGAGGGACAGGTCCAAGAACTTGTTGATCGTCTGGAAAAGCGTGCTCTTCTGTTTCTTTGTCTTCCCACCGATGAGGTCTGTGCTAGTATCACCATCACCTTTTTTCACTGCTTTCCCAGCTTCCTGCAATACCTCTTTAGTGGGCTCTTTTTTCAGCTGGTCTGGCTTGGGACCAATCGGCCGCATGAGGGACCCAGCAACACAGCAGTTCAGCAGGAGACCACCGAGGATGAGGAAGCTCCCTCGCCAGCCAAATATGCCAAAGAAGAGCTGGTTCACAGGTGCCAAGGTCGACAGGAACACAGGGCTGCCTGCCATAGCCAGTCCATTCGCCAGGGGACGCTTCTTGAAGAAATACTTGCCAATCATGGTTAAGGCAGGGTTCAGGTTAAATGCAAGTCCAAGGCCTGAAGAGGAGAAACGAAGGATTCAGAGTTCTACATCCCCAAAAGCCAACAGCGATGACAGAGGGGCTCAGTAAGAGGAGCAAGAGATCAGGGCTTCAGTTCTTTGTGTTCAGTAGCACCACTTTAGCTGTATTAACCTTCAGCCTGTATGAGCAATACTCAGCACCTCAACACCTATTGTGGAGGTAATTGGGAGGACAAGCTGTGTGCATGAGTTAGGAGAGCTGAAAAGACAGAACTGCTGTGACCCCTGACAGACCTTACCTCTACTAGTGTGGCACAACCCTAACCTGAGACAGGAATAATGGGAGGCTTTCTATTTTAAGTAAGGGAATGAGCGCCTGTGCACTTACATTCCTTCTGCATTGCATCACCAGGGCCATCCTCTTACTAGAGCACATAAAGGGAATTGGGACTTACGCAAATTCATAGTAAGCATTTCCTAAGAATTACTAGACAGAAGTTGCTCCTCTGAGAAAGGCTTCTCAGTTGCAATCCCATTAGAGCACAGCTGCACTTACCCCCTACGACTCCCACGCAGAAGTAGAGCTCCTCCACAGTGTTGCAGAAAGAGGCTGCAATCAAACCACACCCCGAGAGGCACCCACCCACGATCATGATGGGCCGGCTGCCATACTTGTTCACCAGGATGCTGCTGATGGGACCTGGAGAGTCAAAGGAGACATGCCCAGAGGTGAGTTACTGTCATGGTTACCTTTGCACAAGTGACCAGGCAGACATACACACAGAAACCTGCTGTCACAGGCTTCATTTCTGCACAGTGCCGCTTCACCCAGCAAAGGAACTGGATAAGAGGGAAGGACTGATGGACCAAAGACAGCTGGAGACAAGAAATGGTGACATTAGTTAAAGCACATGCTGAAATCCCAACTGGAAAAGCAAGATTCTAGCAAGTGCCAAGGACTACAGCCCTGCAGAGCCCCAGAAGCTGTTTATAGCTGTTGAAAGCCACAACTTCCCTGGGCAAGCAGCCTTCCATGGCCTATGCAGAACCTGTCAGGCTGCCAGCTGCCCTGCAGCTTCCCAAGGACCAGGGCAAAGGCCCTGCCCCATACTCTGTAGCCACCATGGCCCATGAGCTGGGCAAAGCATAACAAGGTGACAGCCTGCATCCAACATGATGTTTCTGATGGAGGACAAGGCCATGAAGCAGCAGCTTTGATGGGTGCTGGGCAAAGTGCACCAAGGGCTTGCAGAAAGGAAGGCCCCCACACAATGCCAGGGAGATTGAGGCAAAGTTTTCACTGCTACCCCCTGAAGCAGAAGCAGCCCAATCGCTCTGCACACCGCCTTTTAAGTGCTTCATTATCAGGAGCTTTAATCCAAAGCAAACAGTGATTAGATACTGCAAAGCATGCTCTACAGATACTAAGATGTATTTAAATAAACTGAATGAACATCCATTGAATATTAACAGACCTAGTTTTACCATTAACAGATAGCAAGGTTGTCAACATGTTATTCATGGGTCCTCAGACACTACTTGACCTTTCTGCCTAGTTTAAACAAAGCCCGGAGAACATTTGGGAAGCCCAGCTGCTACTGCAGCTTCTGCAGTGGAGGAAGCTGTGCTCCACCAGGCCAGAGGGATGCATCCACCTGTGTGCAGGTAACAGCAAGTGGTGCAAAGCCAGTGAGCTGCTGGATCTGATGGGCACTGTTCAGTACAAGCAGCTGGCAGCATCAGCATGAGGCACAGGACAAGGGAGTCTTCAGGATTAGAAGCAAAAGTCACTCCAAGTCCAAGGAGCAGCAGGCATCACAGGTTCTGGGGCACGCAGAGGGACTGTTCGCAGTGCATTAGGAAAAGGAATGGCCCAAATCAAGCCTCATTAAGGCAGCTACACTGTTTACAAGCTTGTTATAACATTGGAGCAGAGAGATGTGCCCATTGCCTCGCTTGCTAAGCAAGGACAAAGCAGAGTCTGTTCCCCAAAAGGAAAAGCCTCATGCTCAGCCAGGCCGTTAACGTCAGCTCCTTTTGATGCACAAATGCAAATAAGACCAGGCACCCTGCCAGCTGGGGATAGCAGCAGCACAAGCTCCGATTTGCCTCTGAAGTACACACAACAGCAGGGTCCCAGTAAGAACTCCTTTCAGCCAGTTTACCCAGTGCAAAACTGCATGTGCAGGCTGGCACAACGCACCAGGGCTTAGGGACAGGAGATGCAAGGACTTGGAACACACGACCCCAGCAGAGCACAGACTGCCTGCTACTTGCTGGTGTAAAAGCAAGCATGAAATGTACAGCTTGGGGATTAGGAGACTCTGAGCAGTTTCTGAAGGACAGAAGAGGGGAGCTGTTTCACTTTAAGTAGTTGGCTTTATTCTGCTCATGTTTCTGCTCTTCCTGTGCGTGCTGCCACCTCCAAACAGTGCAAGCTGTCTAAGGCACTGCTCAGCACCACTGGGGAAGAGCAGACTACATCCGTTTTCAGTGCACATTTCAGTAGTCAGAGCTGACCAGAAAAGGGAACAGATTCTGGTAGGCAGTCAGCGCTCAATGGATTCCAAAATTAAGCATCCTGAACCAGGAAAAGACCCTATAGCAGGGCTTCTGTGCTCAGCACACCTACTCTCCCCAGCCTTCTGGCAGGTGCTGAGGGCAGACAGATCCTCAGCCACACACTGTTACAAGAACAAGGGCAGAATTACACAAGTTGTAATACCCCGGAAAGAATTTACCTACAGCTTTGCTGAAGAGGACAGATTAACCCAGCTTTTGCATTCTGGACACTGAATAAGAACTTTGAGCAATCTACTCCAAGCAAGCTTGCTGAAGAAATTTTGCTCTCACGTAACAAGAAAATCCTAACTTTTATCAAAGTTAGGACTGTTGCACTACAGCAAGATGCAATTAATGAGGCTCAGCATTACATACTCCAATGCAAAAGCACATGCAATGCTGTCCTCAGTTCTCTTACCTCCTGCATACATAACAGCCAGCATGATAGAGGAAATCCATGAGACTTTGCTGCTAGATGCGTTGAAGATGACCTCAATCTCTTTGAAGAACACAGTGATGGATTTGGGAAAGGCATAGGAAAATCCAATGGAGATGAAGGCTCCGATGACCACAGCCCATCCCCAGCCTCCTTCAGGAGGAGTGTATCCCACAGGGCCTCCAATGGCCGGTGGCATCTTGAATGAGGCTGGCAATGGATCAGTCGGGGTTCAAAGATCTGCAAAGGACAAAGTATCATCTCAGCTGAGTACAGAATGCTGTAACCTCATTCCACTGCTATGCAGGGCCCCATCCACAAGGTCAACACAGCACCCAACAAACCCAATGCTGCACAGGAAGCTGGCAGCCACACCAGCACCCCAACTCCCTCCAGGAAGGCTGCTTCCACTGGGGAGAACCCAGGTTTGCAGGCAGGCCTTGGAAGGTTATCTTAAATCAAACGCTCAGATCACTGGTGGCCTTTAGAAGCACTGGCAAGCAGGTGTTTATAAAGTACATATTTAAGAGATGACATCCTATTATGAGCTGAAAAGGGCAAGCTGTGATCTTACAAGAGCAGCTGAACACAGCAACAAAAAGAAGGCACACAAATGGCTGCTCTGACAGCAGCACCAGGCTGTGCCCTGCTAGGTCCCACAATACAGCACCCATCAGGCCTGGGGTCTGGGAACCTCGGTACAGCTGGAGACCCTAAAACCTGCTCTCATTTGATGAGCAGTATCCCAGCAGATCCACACACACCTCTCTGATCTGTTACCCACAGAAAGTAAGGAAGATGCCAGTGCTTTGGCCAACAGTGAGTTCTTCCATAAAGGCAGGTGAGGGGCAGGCGTGCTGGGGATCCTGCAGCCCACAGGTGGGCAGGAAGAGCTGGGAAACCCCAAAATGGGGAATCAGTAAGAAGGGAAGGGACTCCCAAAATCCTCTAGAGCAAGCACCCCATACAACAGAGGGCTGCCCAGAGCAGGGCAGCCCCCCCCCCCAGGTTCTTAAATATACACCTACCAGATAAAACTGCGCACAAGCCAGGGCTTTCTGCAATGTAAAGGCAGGCAGGTGTCAAGACAGCACACCATCAGTCCTGCAGTCCCAGAAGGTCACAGGCTGCGGCTAAACTTAGCTGTGAGCAACAACAGTGGGATGCTGCCAGGGCTCTGTCCTTCCCTGGGGCAGGGAGGGGGAGGTGCTCCAGCCCTCCCAGGACACTCTGCATCCCAGCACTGCTAAACCCCTCCTCTGAGACCAAAAAAGCCATTCCCAGCACAAGGAAACACAGCTGGGACGGTGCTGCCCATGCAGCCCCAGCACCACAGCTCTTGTACAGCCTGCACAGCTGGCACACACCTTGAAGCTGCAGTCACTTGAGAAAACAAGGCTGTTCAGACAGCAGAGAGCAGCACAATCCATCCCACAGAGGAAACACGACCAAATCAGCTGCTCGCATGTTGTTCCACCGTATGCAAAACAACAGGAACTGCCCCTGCAGCTCCCATGGGGCCCTGAAGATTTCAGGATGCCTTCAGAGCTGGGTTCCCTACAGCAAGATGCCACAGCTGAGAAGGGCAGAGCTGAAGCACTGCTCACACCGAGCACAGAGGGGAAGGAAGGAGCACATCAAGCTCCTCCAGCACAGCCTAAACCCTCTCATACAATCTCCCAGCTCAGGCTTTCACCTGGAGACACAATGGAGCACAAGAGCTCCTGGAAGTGACACCACAACGCAGCGACAGCTCCATGTGAAGCAGCACAGAGGTGCCACAAGCCCTATTTATAGCACACGTCCGCTCGGGCTCACGGCGATTACCATCGCATCCACGGCCGTTCTCATGCCAGCATCTACCTGGCACGTTTTGCCATGCTCTTGGCAGCCAGCTCCCTCCCATGGGTGCCCGGATCGCTTTCACCTCACAGCACAGGCCAGGCCTCACGTGGCCCTGCAGCTCCATCTGCCAAACTGCAGGCCTGCGGTGGCGGGCAGGAGGAGGCAGCCAGCCCCACACCACAGGGAGCCCAGCACCCGAGCCTGCCCTAAGCCTTTAAGACTGGTTTAGCCTGAGCCAGGCGTGGATCTTTTTGGCTGGAAGGGTAATTCACCCACGCTCCAGCACAGCACATGACTGTCATGAGCACACAGGCTCCTCCAGTCACAGGAATCACTCACAGGATGTTCCTCTAAGCAATTCCCATCAGCTCACCCCAAACAGCCACCACACACTCTGCCCTCTGGCCACACAGGCAACCCACCCTTAAAGTTACACACTGATAGCAATACTGGGGTTTGACACCACCTCCAGCCACGCTGCACAGCCTGCAGCTCACTCTTAGGTTTTGAGTCACACTGAGCTCTCACAGCACCCAGCGATGCTTTAAGGCATCATCTAACAGCTTTGATTTGCCTGAAAGGCTAAAAAAAGAAAAAGAGAGGCTACTGAATTTTGGTAACAGAAAATCCAGCTACTGTTCAGTAATACAAACCAGTTGATAGCATAAATAGAGGTCACTGGTAGTAACATCTGGGGATATTGCTGAGGCCTTGGGGAACACAGGTTTAGATCTTCCATCAGTCCCAAGCAGCTGAGCTGTGCCAAAATCATTGTGGCTGGGCTCATTCCTCTTCTATGCTTGCTCAGGTGGCATCCTTCCATAAAAGACTTTTGAAGAGCAAGACAACCTCTCTTGTGGTGCCAATGCATAGTGAAATACCTTGGACTGAAGTTGGAGACCATTAAGCAAGAACCCCAAAGTTCGATGCCAGAGGGTTTACACGAGCTCTGCATGTCACAGCATTTTGCCCTGACTCACTGCAAAACCTCATTAAGGAAGGCCAGTTTTAGAATACTTCTATCAAAGGGAGGCTTCAAATGGGAGAAGAAAAGCACACAGAAGGCAGCCAGTCCAAAGGGAAAGCTTCCCTCCCCTTTGCAAAAGAAAATATATAAAGTAAATGAACAGTTATGACATTTACAGTTCTGTTTTGGAAGAGCAGCAACATGTAAGATGTGTTTGGAAATCATATTCACAGCTGCCAGGCAGCCAGCTACAGTTTGCCCTATTAGGAAACAAAGCAACCATACTCGCTGTAATTAAGACTGATGAGACCAAGTAATGACTGGAAGTATCACATCTGCTAGCCTGTGAAGTCTTGACAAACCTGCAGGAACAGGTAGCCTACAGCAAGCCCTCATCCTGCACAGCAATGGCAGGAACAGCTATGTTTTTTTTTTTTATGCAATCCAGACTGCATCAAATGGGAACAGACCCTGGAGAAGACCACAGTCCTTTCCCTCCCCCACGTCCTATACATTGCTGCTGTGGTCTCTTCTTTGAAGGTGCCTGGATCAGGAAGATTTTAAAGACTTCTACTTACATAACCCAGCAAATCGCTGTGCTTTTTAAAGCCCCAGATTGGCAGGATTCCGGAGGAGAGAGACAGAGGCTCACATTTATAAAGCACCGCAAATGCTGCAAAATATTTCTGGGGCAATCCCTTCACAAAGGTAACCTCACAACGCTCTTTTTCAGGGCAGGAGGGGTTTCTCCCACAAGCAGCATCCCGGCCCTGCAGATCCCTGCCTGTCTCCTCACATCCATCCCTGCCACTGGGGATTTCACTGCACCAGGCACACATTCCTCTCACACCTGCTGTCTCAGAGGCTTTTAAAGCCTTTCCCAGTGGCAGAGCTTGCTCACCTGCCATGGACAGGCAGCATCCAGGGCACAACCCAAGCACCCCTTAGAGGTCCTCACCCTGAGTTTCAGGCTTATACTTATCGCTGGAGAGATGGAGCTTCTACCAACTGCAAACTGGTGAGAGCAAGTAACACCTCACAGCTTCAAGTCAGGACATTTTCTGGCCGGAGAAAAGATCAAATAGAGATTGTTATGAACTAATGAGACACCGCTACCACTGGTTTTAAGCACATTTACAGAATTAAGCATAGGGGTGTAATTCCAGTGAGTGCCCCAGGCAGGGTTTTAACCTGGCTGTGCATGGCATACGTGACCACCCAGTATTTGCAGGGACTCTGCACCAAAACAATACTCAATTGAGGTCCTGCTCAGCTGAAGCATTTGTTCCCAGGGTGATGCGAGGTCAGTAGCACGTAAAGTTTGCCCAAGGACAGCAGCCCACGCAGATGAGCTCAAGGTTCCTTCACCAGCCACAGCACAGCCTGCTCAGCACCCCTCCTCTGCCCAAGGATGGCCAGCAGAGCCCCAGACATGCTGCAGTCTGCCGACCTGGCAAGCAGACAAGCAGATGCCAGAAGGCATGGCTTTGTGCTCCTCAGCAGAGGTGCCAGTGGCTGCTGCCTTCACCTTTTGCTCAGCGCTGGATCCACAGCAGCACAAGCCCCAGCCTGCAATGCAGGATCAGAGGTGTGCAGCAGCACCATTGCTCACCTCAGCAGGGCTACGGGCTCTGCTTGAGCATCACCCACTACAAACAGTGGCTGAGGACAGAGATTGTAGGGATCTGAAAATAATAATCCCCCACACAGCAGCCACACCTGACCTGTGGGCTGCGAGGAGGTTGCACCACTGTGCTTTGACCCCATCCAGGCAGCTCCTCACTGCCTGCAGCCATCAGCACTGCCCTCCTGCCTGCAGGGAGCTGATGCAACAGGACTCTGAGGTTGTTTGTCAGAAAAACAAAACAAACAAGAAAACAAGTACCAGTTTCTCCCACCAGAAGAAGTCCATTACAAGCACCCATTCCAGGCTGCTGTCTCCAGGTATTACCACCAGTGATCTCAGCCTGTCTGAGCAAGGACCAGGAGCCTTACTAGTATGAGAAAGCATGAAGCAAGCTTAAGCAAGCAACCAGAGGGATCAAGGGAAAAAACCCTGACTGATTTTTTTTTTTTTTTTTTAATAACATTACATGCTGGCAATGGCCACAACTCAAGCAGAGTTCCTCCAGATCCCTCTGACCCACAGCTCTAGGATGGTAGCAGTAAAGGCCCCATAGCACAGCTCCTGCTGGACTCCCCTGCACAGCACAGCCCCCAGCCCACCTGCAGCCATCCAACCCCATCCCAGGAGGGCTGTGGCTCTCAGCATCTCCTCGTGCAGGTTTCAATCTCAGGTCCCCAGGCACAGACCACACTTTGATAGGAGCAGAGATGTTTCTCTCCACACATCAACCTCAGCACTGCAGTACTCACAGATGCCTCAGAGACGATCTGTGCCTTGCCAAGAAATTCTCAGAATGAGAAAAATGCGGTACCAAGCAGCACCAGCATTCTTTCATTTAGGCATCGATACGCACAGCCAAGGACGCAGCCACTCCAGGTTTCACTGTGTAGGGCTGCAGAATCTCAGAGCCCCACAGCTGTTTCGGTCTAAACAACCACCCCTCTCTTCCCTGAGGGCAGCAGCTCATCCCCTTTGTTCTCAGCCACATCCATCTCATCCCTCTTTAAAGCCTCCCAAGCACAGAGGAGGCGGCTGCAGCTATGTGGATGGAGATTACCTGACACCACCTGCAGGACTGTGGTTTTGGGAACCAACTACAGCCCCACACGAACTTTCTTTGGCTGCAGCACAATTACACAGCAGTAGCTTGAAGGGAGCATTTCAAAATGAGTCATTCAGACAATAATGGCAAGAGGCTCCTGCTTTCTTCATCAGAAAGGTTGCTATTATGGGCTTATTCCACCGAAGGAAGTGGGAGAAGTCATAAAACTACAACATTAACACTGAAGTGCTTGGATACAACTTGCCTCCCTTAGGCTACGTGCAACTTTTCAACTCCTCATGAAGGATCTATGGAACGGAATCACGCAAGCCTCCAGCCCTGTACAAGTCTCCGGGTATTTTCCACCTCAGCTGCCAGACAAATCAAGGCAAGTGTGAGAGCAGATGCACCACTGGCACCTTTTGATTAGGAAACACCTCCTGGTGGGCACAGCGCAGATAATGCTCTCACACCTCTGCCTGGAGGGCAGGACAGGATACAGCCACAGCTGTGACACTGCAGGGAAGCTCACAGCACACCAACACCAGGCCTGTGTGTAGCTGGAAGATTTACCAGGCAGGAATGAGCTGAAGATGGAGAAGGCTCCTTTGAGGCCAGGATGTCTGGGGAGTTCCTGACCCCAGCAGCACTCCAGAGTAGCATTTTTCAGCCCTGCTCATCTCCATAGCCAGAAAAGCCTGGAGCAGAGGCATCCAAGGGACGGCCCACACCAAGTTACCTCACTTAACATGAGAAAGGGATGCCTGCGCACCACAAAATGGCTTCAGGCATACAGAAAAGCAAGAAAACAAACACCACGAAATGCGAAAACATATTTCAGGTGCCTTGGGATGAATCTAAAAGGCTCCCCAACACTAAAGCCCAAGAACACCGAGAGCACCTATGGCACAGGTGGGTGCCTTACAGATGTACTGTGCCTATTCCCAGCACAGTAACAGGACTGTGAGCACCTCAGCCTTTCCCAGTGTTTTGCCCACCACCCATATGGCCACAGAAAGGCTCCCCCACACCCCACACCACGTGCTGGGGGGGGGGACAGGACACATTCCTATATGCTGGCAAGGGCTGCCACATTGCCCCAAGCAGCAGCAGGCCATGGTGGTCGTTCTATCTGCATATCACCCAGCCCGGCTTGCTGCAGCAGGGCAGCCCCACACCTTGAGCTGTTATCAGGCTTATTGGTGAGAGCCAGGGCCCCACAGCTCCCCGGTGCCTCCTGCAATCCCAGACCTGGGGCAGGCAGAGCGCTGCAACCTCTGCTTATGGCTGCCAGGACCCGGGGTCCAGCCTCACCGCCTGCGGGGGGAACCACGCGTGGGTCCCGGGCTGAGCACGGCTCCGCAGCTGAGCGGACAGGATTGGCCCCACGCTCCCCACGCGGCCCCCAGGGCCTCAGCTCCCGCAGGAGCTTTTTCTTATCAGCCATCCAGAACTCGGTTAATCGCCTCGCATCCATTCCCGCTATCTGGAGCGCGCAAGGTGGAGCGGATTTACCCTCCCCGTTCAGCGACCAAAAACACGACCGGGGCATCGCCCACCCCGGGGCCGCCACATCGAGCGGATGCAGCCGCAGCACAGGAGGGTCCCGAGCGCTCCGCTCAGCGCCCACCTTTGTTTCGGACGGCCCCCAACCAGGAGCACTTCGGAAGTAACATCGACGGCGCGGACCCCCCGTCTCTGCCTGCCCCAAAAGCGCCTCGCGGGGCGCTGGAGGTCACCGCCGCCTCCCGCCGTTCTTCCACGTGGGGGAAAAAAGCAGAACGCGGGCCCGACCGCGACCAAAAAAAAAACAAAACACAAGGCCTGAATTACTACGATGGGAAAGGTGACGGAACACAAAGGCAGGCAACTCCGACGGCACAGCGAACCGGGAGCGGACCCGCCGAGCGGCGTCGGACCGCGACCCGGCGCTGCACGCGTGCGACCCCGAACACGCGGCCGAGGTCCCAGCAGCTCCCCAGGCCGCGCCGAGAGCATCACAAAGCGGCGGGGGATCCCAGCCCAGCCCACCGCCAGGCCCACCGGCCGCGGCTCAGCCCCGCATCCCCGCGGCGGAGCCGGGCAGGGCCCCCAACGTTATGCAGGAGCTCAGCGCTCACCGGACACGCACTCGTCCCAACGGCGGGGCTCGGGGCCGCGCGTCCCCCGGAACCGGAGCATCAAGGCTCCCGCCACGAGGTCCCGCCGCCTCCCCGCGTATCCTCCATCCCCACCTCCAGCCACGTGGAGTCCCGAAACCTCCCAGGAAGGACCGCGCTGCCCCCTGCCCAGCTCTAAGCTCCATCCCCCCGCCGCCGCCGCCACGTGGGCCCAACGCAGTACCGAGCCCTACCTGCGCGTGCCGCCGCCGGCCGAGTGCCGCCTCCCCCGGCCCCCCCCGCCGCTATAAGGGCGGAGGGGCCGCGCCTTCCGTTTGGGGCGGGGGCAGCGGGTGGGCCGGCAGCGGTACCGCCTCCGTCCTCGCGCCACGTGCGCGGAGCGCCCCACGCGTGGCCGCGGCTCCCGTGCGGCCCGGCACGTACCGCCCCGGGCGGAAAGCGCGGCACGACGGCGGGCGGGGGGAGCGCTGGGACCGCGCTTCGGTCCGCGAGGGTCCGCGGGAAGCGCCGTCCGCGGCCCCTGGCGGCGGTGCTTCGCCCGACATCACCCGGCCCGACTTTGTGCCGTTGGGCTGCGGCGCTTCCCTCGTCTACCGGAACGTTTTTGGCTGTCGCCAGCATGAGCTGGCAGGCGGCCCGTAACCGCGAGGATGGCGGACTCGAGCAACCCCCGCTGCCGGCTGCGCTGCTCTGTGCCCAAACAGATGTTGTGCCCGGATCCGTGGGATCGGAGCAGGCAGAGCTGGCGGGGAGGGGCCCAGCGCTGCGCCTACATGGAGCCGGGCTCAGCCCTCGTGGAGTCACAAAATGGTTCGAGTTGGAAGGAATCCCCAAAAACCATCCGGTCCTGCACTGAACGGGGACATCCACAGCTCCTTCAGCACTCAGAGCCCCCAGCCTGAGCCTGGGTGTCTGCAGGGACGAGGCACCACAACCTCTGTGGGCAACTTGTGCCAGGGCATCAATGCCCTCAGCATAAAGAACTTTTCTTATATCCACTCTAAATCATAGAATAATAGAATCATAGAATCGTAGAATCACAGAATCCTAGAATGGCCTGGGTTGAAAAGGACCACAGTGATCATCCAATTCCAACCCCCTGCTGTGTGCAGGTCACCAACCAGCAGCCCAGGCTGCCCAGAGCCACATCCAGCCTGGCCTTGAATGCCTGCAGGGATGGGGCATCCACAGCCTCCTTGGGCAACCTGTTCCAGTGCCTCACCACCCTCTGTGTGAAAAACTTCCTCCTAATATCTAACCTACACCTCCCCTGTCTCAGTTTAAGACCGTCCCCCCTTATCCTTTCACAACAGACCCTGCTGAAGAATCTGTCCCCTTCTTCCTTACAGCCCCTTTAGGTGCTGACAGGCCACCAGCAGGTCTCCCCAGTTCAGAGATGTCCAACTGCTGTCTTCATCCCACTCCAGACAAAGCTGCTGCACAGTTCAGGCACAGAAAGGCACTGCATGGCACACAAGTGAGGTTCTTACATCAGCACCAGAGCTCCCCAAGCTCAGGATGCAGATCTGCAGCGCTGACGCATCGCATGTGACAAATCCTGTACAGATAACTGTTACTCTGAATGTTTTTCTGGAGCTGCTCTCTCCCGCAGCCTAATGAAGTTAATTGTGTTCTGGGCTGCGTGCTGAACGCTCTGTTTTAAAGCAGAAGTAATGGTGTAATTCACCTCACAGCCATGGCAGGGAATGAAGGGGAGAGCTCAGCTACAGGACTAGGAGCAGCAGCAGGAGCATGCGATCCCTTTTGCACCCCCACAAGTGTGTGCATGGGTGTGTGCTGTGCATGTCGGGGCACTCCGTGACTGGGGGCACCCTCTGGAAGCAGAGCAACCTCACTCACCCACTTCTAAAGGACAATGCAACCCAACGAGCGAGTGGGTGGACGGTTCTCCTGCTGCATCTACCTCTGAGCAACCCGGAGAGCAGGGAGAGGTCTGCGCTCATCAAGAGATGAATAGTGATTAAAGACGGGGAATTTGGGAGCAGACTCAAAGTGCCACTCCTGCAGTGCCTTCACTTCCAAGCAGTGCTTTGCCTGGGCGTAGGATGGGAGCAGCAGTGAGCTGGGATGGCTGCGGGGTGGTGCTGCCATGCTCCTTCATTTGTAGATGGAGGGAAGGAGTCCTTCATGCTCAGGGCCGCTGCACTTCCGCCTCCTTTAGAAGATGGATTTAGTATTAATCCCTTCAGGATTTTTTTTTTTTTTTTCTCATGAGGAAAACAGGATATTGTTTCAGGATATTGGGCAACAAAGCTGCCCTTTAGTGGCAGCTATAAGCAGCCTTGCCGTCCTCACTACTGGCTGCATTCGTTGCTAATCGAGTTTAAGATTTGGTACAGCTGATGCACTTCCAGAGAGAGGTCACAGCAGAGCAATTCGAGTTCAGGATTTCTGTATCCCATTGTAAACACTTAGGGCCTGTAGTAACCTCAAAATATAATCACTAGCTTTGGTTTCCATTGGAACTAATATCTCTAGCAGCTGCAAATTCAGCCCTCCCGCCTTTGTCAGCATGCGTGTCCTGCTTGATAAGAGAGGCAACAACGGGAGTCAAATCCAGGAATTATTGGAAATCTCCTGGGAAAGCCTGTCCTTCTGAGATATCCATCAGCTTCCTGATGGCTTTGGGAAGGTTTTCTGAATCTTTGGGCTCACACTTCTCACCCCACCTCCAGGTCCTGAGGTTACCCACCCCAGCAGCCCTGGGACAATGGCTGTGGAAGAGAAGGCGTCTGTGCAGTCCCTGGGGAGCAGCAGCTCTGCCTCTGATGGATGCCAAAGGCGTGACATTGTTTAGGGCTGTGCTACAACTGCTGTCGTTGTTTAGAATATAACGTGTCTTAGGAAGAAATTGTTTGTTGATAAAATGTTTGAAATTGCCACTCATGATCAATAGAAAATCCCTGCAGTTGCCACAACCTTCACGCTGCACACGCAGTGATGCACGTGGCTGGGAGCAGGGCGCTCTCCTCTGTGTGCAGCCTGGATGTAAGAGATCCTCAGCCACGTGCAGGTGGCACAGTGGACACTAAGGGACATCATACGCAGTGTGGTCCCACTGTTCCCCTCCAATCTGTGCCCATTTCTCACCTCTCGATGTGCTCAGGCTGTTCTCCCGGGGCCGCTGCTGTACAGCATATGCCAGCATGCCACCTCTTGCCAAGAAGCTTATCTGGCACAAGAAATCACATCTGTTCATCCTCCCTTGATGTCCTTGCAGCCAGAGGGAGGTGGTGGTGCTCGGTGTACTTTCAGTGCTGGCTCCATGGGGATTTGGAAGGCCTCTGCATGCTGCGGGGGCTGCTGGCCCTACTGCAGATTGCTGCCCATCTGCTCCCACTGCAGCTCCCTGAGTGCTGGCTGCCCAACAGGTCCCCACTCTGGTGCTCTCCCTGCCTGCAGGGGGTGGCAGGGGCTCAGAGGGTATCAGAACCCACCTGGAGGTGAATCACACCCTGGGCTGGAACATGGCAGAGCCATGCAGCACTGCACTGGTGTGGGGCACAGGGACCCATCCTCAGGTGATGCTGCAGAGGGACACTCCACTCCAGCCCCACCTCACTCCTAACCCCTCACACTGGGGTCAGTGCCTCGGGGACATCCAGACTGGTCTGACTGGTGCAGGGTCTGGTTCTGCAGAGCAGGGGGACCTGGCCATGCCTCAGTGCTCTCCAGCAGGATTTTGCTGTCCCAGAACACTCTGTTTTAATGGCTTTATTCCTGTTCTCGGGGTGGGGAGGAAGAGGTGGGGGCTCTGCAAATCATTTAAACACATCCCACATGAAATGACTTCATGTGTCA